CAGGTCTCATAAAGATCTTGAGAAGCTCCTCATATCGTGCTTTCGTACTCTATTCTTCTAACAGCATCATCATCATCTTCCATTGCCGCTTCTCCTTTCGGGTCGCGGAGGCAGACGCGTCAGACAGAGCTTCCAACGTTTCCGATCCTGTGCCAGTGTCTGAGCTTCGGCAAAAGACAAATGGAGTCTGGAACAGACTCCTTCCATATATGCTTCTAACAGCAATCAATAATTTTCTGTTTTCAAGGATTTCTGAATTTTTTGTACGTATTCCACGTCGTACGATGTCTTCTAACAAGCCTTGGACCAAGATGACTAACTGTTCCATGTAGACATATCCATGACCTCTATTTCCCTACCATAGGCGATCACTGTAGCTAAATACGCGAATTTGTTTTTCATCCATTTTGTCTTCGCTTTGTTTATCCCAAGTCCAGTTTGCTTGATCTTTAACTCTAGCCCATATAACATGGTTTCAGCGTCTTTCGTGATCGTCTCCAACAACACAATTTCGTCAGCAAATCCAAAATGAGTGGACCTTCTGTGACTGTTTGAAAAACCTGTATCCAATTTCATTTTGCGAAGTACTGACTCATGACATGCGGTAAACAACTTTGGCAACAAGGCATTAGAAACCTTGAGTTCAACTGGATATTCCAAACAGCTGTATCTTCATTTTCAGCTTGAGTATACTACTTTTAGAATTCGAATGTACTGTTCTTCAATTCCTAGCTCTTTCGACGCACAGAAGAATGTTTAATGCTCTATCATATCGACTCTCTTTTCATAGTCAGTGAAAATGAAGGAATTAGATATGCCAGAAATTGCATATAATTTCAGATTACAATAAAATGTGTTCTATTTTTCGTTGAATCAATATGTCCTATTTCGATAATCGTCTGTTGAAGACTCTGAATAAAACTTCTGTTCATCAAGGTGAATTTTGCTGCTAGTCTGTCATATTTTTAGTTCAAGAACAGTTGCTGAATCAGCTGCGACATTTCTATGCCTTGAATGAGAAACTGCTTTCGGAAAGTGATCGGGGTTTGTTTACCGATTCCGAATCCCCTTCAAAAGCAGCTAAGCTTCGAGCGATGTTTCCACAAGAATCGCAAGGAGCTGCAGCAACTGAGCGAATCTGGCAAGGCTTCTACACAAACGACGGCAGTATCATTGAAAACGAGTTTCCCAAGGATTTTCAAAAGCTTCTAGTGGAAGACAAACAACGATGGCCTAATTACAAAATGGGAGCAATTGGCTGTTCCGTCGAATGAAATATGTCCGTCGTCAATGTAGGCAAACTGCGTTCTAGTATTTCCTGATACCGAACGAAATAAGAAATCCTCCCACGCACCATTTAAATTTCGTAAGACGAACTGTGTATATTATCTGATGACTCGCTCTATTAAAGCAGTGGAAATGCTTGGCTTTAAGAGATTTATGATTACTCTGCATTTTCAGCTGTTCTAGCAAGAGATCATTGCGTTAATAAAAATTATAGTTATACCTTATTTTTTCAAGTGGTTTAAGCGAATTAAACCATAGAACGATTAATGGTTTAATCTTCTGTTAGATGCTAGCTGAACATAAAATTAAAATTTTTCAGTGTGACACAACAAGCAGAGTCACCAATGATATAGAAAAGATTAACTTCAAAATTCATAATTTGCAACCAACTGCATTTAATTAATAATTATTCTGCGATGGAAAAAACAAGTCATTGCGTGGCCATACGATAAAATTGCACTGACCACTTGTTTACATACGCCTCGGAAGACCATCCAAGCATGCCGTAACTCCAGCGCATTTGAGCACCCGCAGTACACGGATGCCCTGCTGCGCCACTCAGTTTGGTAAAGAAGCGCATTCTGCACTTACTCAGAACTGTGCCTCTCGCAAAATACACCTAACTTGCTCATAATCGAAACTGAAACGTGGACTTCACGTTCACACGGTGATCACCAGAAGCAACGATACACAGAACACATGTTCATTCGATCTAGGTGAAATGCTTGTATGACATTCAGCATCCTCTTCGATATAACAGGATAAGAAAAAGAAGACCATCTATATTTATTAAGTGTGGCTTCTAGGACCTAGAAATGCATCCCTTCATCAGCATAAATCAATAATATACAGAGAAGATATCGCAGTCACAGGTTACAAAGATCAGAACCTATACGGTAAAGGTATAGTAACGAAGACCTGTCAGCAACGGAAAATGAAAGAAAATGAAAAAGATAAGAAACGAAGAAAAAAGGTGGAGATAAATGAAACCAAACAAATTAACCGATGAGATCACATATAATGAAAGATCTTTCAAACTTATCTCATTGTTTAGTTCACTGTTCATACGCTGCACCAAATGGTACAATACCACTTTAGGTTATAAACCATGAAATTACTGTCATCATCAATAAACTTGTAGAAAGAAACAGAAAATAAATCTAATTAGACATTTCGATTCTACGCCCATAATTAATCAATCTAATAATCTCAGTATTAATGTTTGGGACGCCCTGGGAAACGAGCAAATATGGTACATTTTATGCCTATTCGCGCGTTTTCATTATCATCATCATCCATCGCCGCATCTCCTTTCGAGTCGCAC